GCGAGGCGGCCGCGTCCCAGCAGGACGTTACCCCCGGCCGAAGAAGGTACCCCGGGGGCCGTCCCGCTTCGTGCCGCCGCAGCCGGGCGCTGACAGCCTGTGAGGGGAGCGGGCAACAGAGGTTCACAGCGTCTTTCTGTGGTCCTTTTCTAGGGATGGAGAAAATAAACTTCTCGGGAGGAGAACCGTTTCTTCAGGACAGAGGCGAATTTGTAGGCAAACTAGTCCAGTTTTGCAAGCAGGAGTTGAAGCTACCGAGCGTCAGCATCGTTAGCAACGGCAGCCTGATTAGAGAAGGGTGGTTCAAGAAGTACGGTAAGGAAGGACCGCTGTGCAGGGAAGCACTGCGGGGTTTGGGAGCATCCTCCGGGCAGGCTCCCCAAAAGATGGGTTTTGGTGCAAGTGGGAGGTAGTTTGTTAATGGTTCATTTATAGTAAAGGCAAACCCAATACCAGTGAGATACTGTTAATTATGTGTTGTGAACATAGGCAGTTTGTACTATTGCTTCTTTGGTATAACAAAATAATAGCTCAGACTGTCTCCGTAATGGTGTGGACACACACACGCATGCACACAAAATACGTGTTTTGCTGCTGTGGCTTTTGTGGTCCATGTGGTGACTCCACAGAACTGTATTTACATGGCACTTTGTGACAGATCACAAGGAAGTGAAAGTGGGCAGAGCCCTGACAGCTTTTAACTGAGGGGCTGAATGTTAATCAACTTTTAAAACTTGTTTTCAGGTGAATATTTAGACATTCTGGCGATTTCATGTGATAGTTTTGATGAGGATGTCAATGTTTTAATCGGCCGTAGTCAAGGAAAGAAGAACCATGTGGAAAATCTGCATAAACTGAGAAACTGGTGCTGCCAGTATGCTGTTGCTTTCAAAATAAATTCAGTGATCAACAGATTTAATGTTGAGGAAGACATGAATGAGCAGATCAAGGCACTCAACCCCGTGCGCTGGAAGGTAAGAAAGTAGTGTATACCGTAAGTTTCCTGTTCAGAGAAAAGTAGTAATGAAGTGAAGTCTGGGAGTTGTCTGAACCTCTAATGACCTCGGTCAGATCTCCAGCTCCAGCTTGGGCTGGTGTTAGCAGACCTCTTGCCAGTGTTACATAGTGTTGAGACAGCTTCTGCCTCTTTCTGCACTTAAATGGAGCCCAATATGTCAAGAATCTTTTTTGTTATGATATTTACAGGAAATTATTCTTTCTGTGTATGTAGATCTAGTTTTTTTATGATATTAAAAATAAGATGGAAAGTCTTTAACATTTGAAAATATGTCATAGTGTAGAGAAAATGAGGAAAAGTTTGTGTACAATGACACATTAGAGTTAATATATCATTAGCAATACAAAAGAGTACATTAGACATTAATGTTCTGTTGTAGAGTATTAGTGGTTAGTGTGCGTATATTATGTCATTTTCTACTAGAAGTGTATTAAATACATTATGTTATCAGTTTGAAAATGAGTAGAGATAATGTGACTTATAAATATGAGAGAACTTGTGGAATAATTTCTCATTATTCACTTCACAGAAATTGGTATACATATGTGATTTCCCAGAAAAAAAAAAATCACTATAAGTGAAATCTTGGTCCTACTAAAGGAGCATAAGGGAAATATGACGTGCATTTTAGTGTTTTATCAAGCTTCCTGGCCTACCTTCTTACTGGAGTTACAGAGCATGTTGATGGCAAAGGCACCTTTTTCCCCCCAAAGTCTATTCTGAATGTATTTGAGGACTTGGCCTTTGGAAGGGGGCTGTAAAGTAGGCAAATTGTTACTTTTTTTTTCTGGGGAATCATTCCTATCTCTTCTGTGACCATCTGAAGCTAGTTAAACTTACAGTCACCAATCAGGTTAAAATCTTTAAGAATAAAGATTGACTTGATAGTCTGCGTTGTACATAGTGCTTCCTGGTATTTATAATACAGCCGTACTATTTGAGGTTCAATCAAAGTTTATTTGAGCTTTGATTTTCTGTGCCCTTATTAAGACCAGAGCAGTTAAGATTTCTGTGGAAACTGGATCAGGAACCATGACTGTATAATTACATTTAGAACTATGTGATGTTAACTTGCTAAAAATAAATCTGCACTGTGCCCTTTGTGTAGTATTCACTTATCACAATTTGTGTCAGTGTAGCTCTACTGACAGAAAAATTAAAGACACTACTACTGAGGCAACTGGAGGCTTTTGTCACAGTGACAGTCTCTTTTCCTCAAGGCAAGTGAAAACATAAAATCTTAACTAGGTGCCTTCTGTCTTCAGGTATTCCAGTGCCTGCTCATCGAAGGGGAGAACAGTGGTGAGGATGCCCTGAGAGAAGCAGAGAAATTTGTTATCACCGACGAAGAATTTGAACAATTCCTGGATCGACACAAAGATGTCTCCTGTTTGGTACCTGAATCTAATCAGAAGGTAAAATTGAAACTGTCCTTTTGTAACATTAGCTTGATTTTCAAATAAAATTGGAAAGATGGAAAGGAACGAGAAACTTTCATGGCAATTAATCTATTAGTACTGGCCTAGAAGAGGTACAGTACAACTTTGTCAGCAACTGGTTTTGTTATGTTAGAAGCCAAAGTTCTTAATTTTCTTTAAGGCTTTTTATTGAGCACAAAGTTATGCATAGAAGGGTAAAAACTCATTGATCCCAGTCCTGTGGAAACCCAGCAAGAGGGTTTCACAGTGTCGTGTGGGCCTCTGCTCAGTGAGATGGACATATAAAGTTTCAGCACAGAAACTGGAGAAACTGAGTTTTCCACAGCTGAACCGTGAGCTCTGCACAATAATTAAGCCCTTTGGAATTGATTAGGTCTTCCCCACCAGGGCACAAGATCCTGAAAAGGTTGAACGTTAACGTAAACACACTTTATACTCTAAGCATAATTTCCTAATAGAGATTCACCATGATGTTACACTATGGCAGTGTCATCGACCTACGCAAAGTAAGATACCATCCCAGTCAGCATTATACTGAGTACTGAGGAACAAGAACTAGTATTTTTGCCTGACACGTCTTACTGGGTACTCCCTCCCACAGTAAAGTCACATTTTTAACATTGTCTATCTGAACTCCTTTGGACTACATATTCGGGCTCCTTATTCAAAAGGAGATTCCTGCAGAGCCCAGCAGTAAACTTGATGAGCTGCCATCCAGCTTACGTTAGCTGCAGTAAAGGACTTTAGCGCCTAAGGGTAGAGCTCAGGACATTCTGTAAGATGGCTACGGACCCTATACATGGCATGAGGAGAGTTAGAAGACTCAATGTTAAGAAAGTTTATGAACTGAGTGAGGAGATACTAAGTTGAACCAAGCTCAAGAATGCCTTAAATCTCACATCTCACATTACTTTTCCTCTCCACAGATTAAGACTCTCCATTTACAGTTTACTTCTTAATGTATGGAGAGCTCAAGCGAGCAGACTGGGTTGCCTTTGCTATGTGAGACGAAGAAGTGGGACTGTGCAGTCTAGCCTTTAAGGCATTCAGTGTGAGAGCGCACTCATCGGAGAAGGTGTTTAGATGAGAACACAGAACTGTTTCTACATTTTTTTTCGTGTAAGAAGTCCTACAAAAAAAGAGCAGGCTTCCCTCAGCAGGTTTGGTTCTAGAAGACTGTTTCTGACTTCTGTTAAACCTGGGTGAAAGATGGACACCAAATTGATAAAACAGATTTCCCATTCTACACAGTAGCAAGCTCCAGCTACCCAGAGAATTTTAGAGAGGATCATGTAAGGAGATGCCCAGTTAGCTGAGCAAACATGTCATGTTTTAGCTGTTGGCCTATTTCTTGGTGCAGACCGCAGAGCTTTTTGAGCTGGGAGATTACCTTTGAGCTGGGAGAATACCTTTGTCTGCTGGGGTGATAATTAAACACCCCGGCTTAAATGGTCATGTCATTTGTTTGGAAAAGGATGTAATCATTCCAGTATGCAAAACGGTGTAAGTTCTGCTGGTGTAGGACTTAATAGAAAACTTGGATATTATTTAAAACACCTTTATCCAGTTGGGCAGCCGTATTTCAGTTCGACACTTGAGAGGTCATATTCCCAGAATTACTGGTTTATTCTTGCATTAAGTCATGCTAGTAATCCTGTCATTTATTTCTGTAAATGTGATCCAAGCTCACTGAAATAGTGGTAAGACCCTACCTGTTTCGAAGATTTGGATCAGGCGTTGAATGAATAGTTGTTTGTTTTGTCCTTGATTTTTCACTAGAATGGAATTTTGGTTTGTATATTAATTTAGTTTTTACTTTTGATCTATTACAGATGAGGGATTCGTACCTCATTCTGGATGAATACGTAAGTCTTTGTTTGATACTTGGTATTTGTATGCTAATGTATGTATGTATGCAGCAGTACATATAACCAATGCAATTTACTGTGCATTCTATAAAATTATTTTGCCATGTAGCAGAAGGTGTTATTTCTTCCCATTTAACATATTGAGAACTTGAATATAAGTATGACCTAAGGAGAAGTTGCCGTCAGGTTGCATGTATAATCATTGCATCACAAATCTTAAAGTCTAGATGTGTATCTTTGCAGGACATCTTTGCTGGTTTTCTTTAATTTAAAAATACAGAACTTGTCCTGAAAGTTAAGTTTCAAAGAGCCTACTTAGTTTGCATGTAACTGAAAAGCAGACATTTAATCTGCAGGAATTGTGGTATAACTTTGTTCCTGCTGAGGTATGTCAATGTGTCTAACCGTGAGCTTCTGAGCTTTCTAAGGACTGGAGTGAAACCTTTCATGCATTTACATAGGCTTTTGTAGGACTGCAGTGCAACTCACTTAATTCTATAGGAAAATTAAGCTTTTACAAATTGACTTTCTAACATCTTATCTATTGATGTTCCAGATGCGTTTTCTAAACTGTAGAAATGGACGGAAAGAGCCTTCCAAGTCTATCCTAGATGTTGGTGTAGAAGCAGCTATAAAATTCAGTGGATTTGATGAGAAGATGTTCCTAAAAAGAGGAGGAAAGTATGTGTGGAGCAAAGCAGACATGAAACTGGACTGGTAACTCAAAATACTGAGTTATGGCAGGTGCATTATGTAAAGAAAATCGGTGTGTATATAAGTGAGTGTGTATATGTATCTAACGCTTTTAACCACACTGGGTGTTTTATAAAGATTGATGTTCAGTATAACTCTATATGTGAATGTGTTAAATGTTTTAAGAATGTAGATTATGTTCTTATCTATTGTTCGGTTGAACGTTACCAAGTACCTTCAGAGCTTTTATGTAAATAGATCTCTGAAATCAACTTTCTAGTCCATTGTATGGAGGACTTAGGGGCAAGCCATTAATGTAATGTCACACAGGAAGCCATTTGAAGATAATACATAAGCGTGCATGCCAGAAAACAAACCAAAAACCACCCCAATCTCTAATTCATTATAAACAGCTGTACTGTTGGGTAAGTGGAAACTTGTCGGGGAACATATTCTGCCTCGTTGATATAGGAAGGTGGATTGCAGTGCCTCACTAGATCACACGAGGTCCAGCTAGCAGTCCTCTGGGAGCAGCCCCTGCCTCTTTCAGGGGTAACAGAGGGTCAGAATCTAGGAATCATTGTCTGTAATAGTATATTTAAAAGGAAATCAAGATGAAAAACTTGTCAGTTTTTATTCTTTAAGACTTAACCATAAAGGCGTCTGTTGTTCTCCCTCTCCTCCATGTACACATACGATATTTGCAAAAATGTTAGGGGGTGTAATTTTCTATGGAAACATATTTTCAGTCATGAAAGAATGTTATATTTGTCCTAAAACATAAAAGTGCATTCTGCCCAAAGATGAGCAACTTCTTATTTCACATTGGCAATGGCCTTAGATCTAACAAATATTTACAGTGAAAACAATGTTTGTGTTTTATTAATAACTTCCTTCATTTTCCTTATACCTGCAAATATTTATTATTTTTAACATGTTTTTCTCTCCCTGTACATACAGTTCTGATGAAGATTCCTTCTGAAGTTAATTAATACTATGTAGCGTACCTAGCACCTATCTTCTGTTGCATACTGGCAGTGTTATTCACATGCTTTTTGTTTTGCTAAGCCATGGAGTTACAAACAACAAAGTTCATATATCATGTAGCCTTGTTTAAAGTAACCATTCTTGCTTGCTGGTTACAAACGTGCAAGCTTTAAGTGAAGCTAATCGGGTTTTGTGGTAGCTGTCTTTAATTTTAAGAGCTGGCGTCATCAACATAAAATAGTGAAAAGTCAAAACCCCCTGCAAACCCAATAATCTAACATGATTAGTTTCCTGGCAATTGTTATGGCTTTATAACTGCGGTTTTCCAAATTCAACTAGTCCCATACCCCCCTGCAGAGCTCTTTATGAAGGGCACAAGTATAAGCATTGCACAAAGCAGAGGTGAGCTGGCACTACTCATTCGTCCTGTCCATTGAACTCAATGCCTGGACTGTCTCACACGTTTAAATATTTGCAGCAGTTGGGAGCCAGCATACATTAAATGTACCATGTAGAGAAAATTACACCTTCTTTCATTTTTTCTGATAATGCTAGTTTTTTTGTTTTTTTTTTTTTTTAAAAAAAAGAGGTGTCTGAGAGAAACATTTTACATTCACCCTACTACATCTTCAAAGTTGAAGGGGAAAGCGTTTAAGTAGGAGCTGCTACTTCTGAGTAAAGGAAGATGCATCTCTGAATACACTGTGAAAATGTTTCCATTTATAATTCCTTTGCTTTCTATTTTTTACTGTCCTAACTGTAAATATACTATCTCAGTGGTGCTCTTTTGTCTCTTTTTATTTTGCATTTTGCAATCACAACGCTTCCTAGACACTTACATTTCAATATTCTTTTTTTCTTGTATTAATACTAAGTGGCATTTAAAATGTGGCCCGCACACATTAACCCCGCAGTCTTTTGGCAGCTCTTTCCCCGACCTCAGTTGGAGTTCTGCCTGAGTAGCAACTACGGGCAGTGCAAATTTATGTAACGGAGGTTTGTCTTCCTCAGCATTCCCATTGCTCAAATGTTAAATCTAGCCTCTTCCTCAGCATTTACACTGCATGACAGAAAAGAAGCATTTTCCTTTGCTGCTGGCTCATTCCCAGCATGGGGAAAGATTTAGTGCATCAATATACCAGTAAATCTACCAGCTTGCTGCTTCTGCAGAAAATGCCAGCTGTATCACAGCACGCAGATGTGAGGTACACAAACTCCCATTCAGATCCAGAAATCCTGCCATTCTTTGCTTTGCATTTTACTCTGTTAAATGGCTATTCTTTTGCTGCAAGAAAGGAGGCTCCTCTGTGCCTATGGAGGAAGCTGCTGGATAAACAAACCAGAGCTGAAAATGTGAAAATCCAGTAAATAATGTAAAGACATTGAAGACGTCTTAAAATCTGAAGGATTTTACATGTCCTCTTGCTACCACACGTAATTAAGAAAAAGTTTCTGCTCCGTGTGATACTCTTTTCCAAAGGAAATGCCAGTCCTGTCCATTGGAAATGAAGAATTTGACATAACACAGTTTGACAGACAAGCACTGAGGTTAATGAATAGCTATTGATATTTTTATATGCAAAATCAGTTTTTGTGTGAAATCTCAAAAATTTTTTTGGCTACAGCTTGATTAAACTAGTTTATTTTTTTAAATCTATAAATACAGTTCATATCGGACCAAAAATGGACTTTAGGCTTTCATTCTGTAGTTAAGCCTAACTTTCAGCATGGGACTAGAAAAATAATACTGAATCCAATAGGGCTGCTCCCAGGCTTAGAGATTACATGTACGTTGTGACCCTGAAGAGTCACGATTTAAATTTAAGTCCTGTAAACACAGATATTCTTAATTGTATTTTCATATGTGATCTCATAGTACTGCAGCTAAGCACTTGCTAAAGATTTGGGAAGGAATTTATGCTAATTTACTAGCATTATGCAGCTGTTCATATTTGTAAAATTTGTAGAGAATGAGTGCTGGGGAGAATGACTTCAGTTAAAATTATGAATATACGTTGGGTAATGAGTAAAACTGTTGTTTAAGATGCATTTTAAGATGCCCTCTTTTTCACTGTGAAGGATGTTGTTACAACATCTGAATGTTATAAATGATGAATTTTTAAGTGATACTGTCACATAATTAGTGCTAAATGTTTCACATGAGTGTGTTGCACATTTCAATAAATGTTTCTATTTTCTTAAGCCTGCCTGTAATTTCTTTTTTTTTTTTTTTATTAAATATGACTCAGAACCATACTAGTAGAATATGTGACTGCATTCGCAAGAGATCTGTAATTCTGAATGCAGTCTGTATTTAGCACAGGGGGCTGCTTGCATGGTGCCAAGGGCAGCATCTAGGCTGAAATGGAGAACAATAGTGGGGATTCTCCTTGTGATGAAAAGCATTTGTTACAAGCTTGAGTGGACTGGGCTGCGCTGGGAGAAGACAGTTAAAATACCTTGTGCTGTTCAGCCATTATGAAAGGCACAACTATCCATAAATATCTGAGGAGAAAAAAAGGTTATCTTCTGTTACGGTAAATAAGGGAGAAAAGCTAGTCAGTTCAGAGGAGTAAAGACAAGTGGCTTCTTAAGCTCATCTCCCGTCTTCAGGCTGCAGTATAAACTCTTGTGCTAGAGAACCTGAAATTGAGCCTTTCACAGTAATTGGTTGTCTGTGATGGGAGGCTAGGCTTTTTTACCCCCCTTGCCTTTGCCAGTTTTTTTTCTGGACGTTCTAGCGGAGCGAGGGTGCCCAGGAGCAGAGCTGCAGGAAGGTGCCTTACGCCTCCCCGACCCCGCGACCTCCGCAAGGTGCCCCCCAGGGCCTGCTGTGTTGGGTCGCCCCTGTTACCGCCCGGGCAAGGGTGTAAGCTGCGTTTTAGTAAATCAACCAGACAGCTCCTATTCATCTTTCCAGCTCGGTGTTTTCCCTTTTGTGCCTCTGTGCATTATGGAAGAAAGCCGGTTGCTGCTCCATACATAAGCGAACAACAGCAAAGCAGCTGTTTTTGCTGAACAGTGCTTGCAAAACAGCCATGCCCATCATGGTTTCTTTACGTTTCCCTTCTTCCCTTCCTTGTAAGTGAG